CTCTTTCTTTTCCACTATCTACCCTTTACATGGCATCTAGACTGACCATTTAAAAATATAAATCAAATCATGTTATTCTTCTACTCAAAACCTTATAAGACTCCTCATCACACTCAGAGTAAAAGTCCTTACAATGGTCAACAGGCCCATATTAATGTTTTCACCTCCTCTCCTACAATCCTGCTCATTTCATTCTGGCCATGCTGGCTTCTTTCCCTGGATTTACAGGTATACTCCAACCCCAGGGCCTGAACACTGAACACTACCTCTGTTCTTCCCCAGATACCTGCTGGTAAACTTCTAAGTGTGCTCAAATCTCACTTTCTCAACAAGGCCTATATGACTTCTGTATTCAATCTCCAATCTCCCTACCCCTACGTTCCTGATTCCACTTGCTAATATCTGCTCATATTAGAGTCCCATGTAAGCTGGCAGAGGGGCTCTGCTCCATCCATGCAGGTACCCAGCCTACTCCATCTGAGGACTTCTACCTCAGCCAGTCCCTTTGGAGACCATTCCATTTGGTCAATGTATATCAGCAGTGGGAGGGTAAAGATAAAGAGGCATGCCTGCTTCAAACCACCTCGGCTGAGAAGTGATATATAGCTAATATACAACATACCCTCCTTGTGGTCACATGGGACCATATGACTAGTTTTCTCCAGTGGAATTTAAGAAAAGAATATTCTTGAAACTTCAATCACCAACTGCATTTTTGTTCCCTTTTCCTACACAGAGAGCACCCTTACCTCCTCCCACTGTGCCGCACATGCCCAGGTGGAACACCTGCGGTCTGATTCAGTCACTGCATCCAGGATCTCTGGATATGGCATAGTCTTCTTCATAAGGATCATGTGGAACTCCTTAAGATGCAATCTATGAACCAAAAAGGCAAACTGTCTGCACCTTCCCTTCCTGCTCCCAAGATACAATGGTGGAACCAGAGCAGGAGTTTCTTCCTTATTCAATAGCCTTCTTGGCCAGGTGGGCTCTGGCATACCCTCTGGAGGGGCTGCACGACCTTCACAACCCATCAACCTATCCTGCCAGACCAAGTTCTCAGGGTTGTTGTTGTTGCTTTTTAATAGTGGTTTTATAGCTCAAATAGTTAAGGGCTTGTTCAGTTCAGGCTTATAATTTCTTTGCCAATGTAATTTCTTCAGAAACTTAATAGGCCTTTGATCTATTTGTTTCCAGTTGATTGATTCCATGTGCCAGTAACCACACACAAAGTTCTTTCCTAAGACTAACGTATTTCTTTGACTCTTGCTTTCAACTTAACAGAAGCCACCTGGAAGCCATATGAACACCATCAGTTGCTCTCAGCTTTGGCTGTATGATAGAATCACTTGGGGAACTTTATTTTTATTTGTGGCTTCTCTGCATTAGCATTTTTTTTTTTTTTTTGAGACAGAGTTTTGCTCTTGTTGCCCAGAGTGGAGTGCAGTGGTGCAATCTGGGCTCACTGCAAACTCCGCCTCCCAGATTCAAGTGATTCTCCTGCCTCAGCCTCCCGAGTGGCTGGGACTACAGGTGCCCACCACCATGCCCAGCCAATTTTTTGTATTTTTAGTAGAGATGGGGTTTCACCACATTGGCCAGGCTGGTCTCGAACTCCTGACTGCAGGTGATCCGCCTGCTTTGGCCTCCCAAAGTGCTGGGATTATAGGCGTGAGCCACCGCGCCTCACCCACTTGGGGAAGTTTTAAAAACTGTCTATGTCTAGGGTTTCATGTACCTCAGACCAATAAAGCAGAATCTCTGTAGGCAGAACCAAGAGGATTCTGATAAGCAGCCAAGAACAAAAGCCTGTTCCCTAAATCTGATCTTCACCACAGGACTGGGTCACCTTTTTCCACTGAGAAGTTCTACTAGGACTTTGCTGCTTAAAGCCTTTCTCAATGCTTAGCTTTCTCTCCAGGGTCTGGAAGCAGTCTGTTTTTCCTTTCACTGCCCCATGAATCAGAGCTTTCTCTGTTCCCTTTCATTCATTGCTTGTGCACTAACCAATTATTTCTGAGCTCATCTCTCTCCTTTACCACCTTACCATTAACAGTCTCACATTCTGATCTTTTCCAACACTTGACCTAGAGCCCACTTGTGCCTTTCAAATGATCACAGATGATACATTTACTAAACTGGTTGCCACTATAAATAACATGGGTTTCTGACTTTCCCTCTGTAATATCAGTTTCCTCATCAAGTGTACCATGTGACTGCTAAGACAACGTCACAAATTTTAAGATTTTAACAGAACTCTACCTCTTGTACTAAAACTTCAGTGACTCAACACAAAGTTTTTATCATGCCCCCATCACAGTCAAGTGGATTGCTGGATATTCTTCTCCACCCATCATTCAAGGACCCAGTTTCCTTTTGCTTCATGGTTTCACCCTCTGCTGGGTCTTAATGACATTCTCTCCACCAAGGTAGCAGAGAGAGTAGAGAAGGCACCCTGCTATTCACTAACTGTCTTCTTCTGGAAAGACACCTATCATTCTGTTCACATCCCACTGGCAAGAACTAGTCACATGGTTCCACTGAGCAACACAAAGGCTGAAAAGTGTAGTCTAGGTATGTGCCAACAAGAATAGGAAAACAGTAATGCTGACAAGCTCTAGCAGTCTCTTTCATGCTCATTAAAACTTAAGCTCCACAAGGCAGGAGTCTTTGTCTGGTTTGTCCATAGATGTATCCCAAAAGCCTCTTACAGGACCTGGCACACAGTAGGTGCTTAAAAATATATTTTGAATGAAAGAATGAACAGACAGGATGAATCTCAGATATGGTACCATATGGCATTTTCTTTGTAATAAAGGCAAATGAAGTGAACCAATGACTAAAAGAATGAATTATACTGCATAGTTACTCAGATAAAAACATTTAACAGAAATTTCTGGAAAATTCAAAATAAACTTCCAGGTACTAAAAACTCACATATCACATCTACAATGCAAATTCATATACCAGCTGGTTAAACACACACTTAAACTCACGTTGTGAGCGTATAGAAACATCTGTTCAAAATATTAGTATAAACACAGCTGACAATCTTGAAGAAATTACTATTAAATTGTTAGCACATCTTTTTGTTAACTGGAAACTTCTTTACCCAGCCTCAAAATTCAACTACATCTTCCTCAAAGAGCAAGAGCTCTGCATGTACAGAATCTTAAATTTGAAAACAAGTTACATACAGACACCTGCACATACTGCTAAAAGGCCTTACCAGTATGCATTGACCCCATGCAAGGCATATATCCATCAAAATTCAGAACGGACACGTTTATCATATTATCTTCAAAATTATGCAGGATGACAATACTTGATTTTTAAAAAAATTTAAGTCACTATAACAAAAAGGAATTTATAAAACAAAAAAAGCTAAAATAAGAATAACAACCCGTGGAAATAAGACCTACTTCACAAGAGTTTTGTGAGGATCACACAGAAATGTAAGAATTTACTTGTGCTTTGTATACTTTTCGGTATGTATATTATAACTCAATGAAAAAATTCAAGAGTAGATGAAAAATGCAAATCATAAAACAGTATCAGTCACTTGTCTTTAAATAAGTACAAAATCCCCATTTTTAAAAGGGTAATAAGTTAGCCAAATGAGGAAGTTCAAACCAGAGAAAACAAGAAGTTTCTCATTCTCCTCGTCCCAACATCCAGAATGAGAATTTTCAGTAGAAACATAGCAGCAAATTCAGTCAACATGAAAATTAAAACAGCAAAAATTACTCCAGTGTGAACAGTTAGACTCTACCCTCCCCGCCCAAAAAAAAACCCCACTAGAAAAAACATCAACAATTAACATAGTGAAGTACTTGTACTTTAAGTAACCAAAAAGAAACAATTTGAAAATCTGTAAATTCTCTTTATTTAAAAAAAAAAAGAAAAGGAAAAAAACGGAGTTTTTTTTAGGATTTTAAAAGTGGTTCTTCAATCAAAAAAAAAAAAAAAAAATTGGATTCCACAACACAACAAGACCCAAGATAGGATATTTGGTTTAACAAAATTTTATGGTTAATTATAACAGAAACCTATCTAGTTAAAAAAAAAAAAAAGTATCTAACATTGTCAGAGATGAAAGAACTAGGGTTAAGTATACGTTGAAGTTTGTTTTGTTTTTTTTCTTTAATTCCTGATGTGAGTTTACTTGCTTTTACTTGGTTGAGTTTTAAAACAACCAAAGAGAAAATAAAAACTGGTTATTAAAGCTTTCTAATACTTGAAGGCCAACAGACAACCAGGCTAAAGAATCTAGATCCTGAATTATACTTCTGCCCTTATATGCTTTTCTACCGTTTAGCAAACCAATCAACCAACCAACCAACCAACAAAAACTAGAGGAAAGAGTTTAAAACAAAGGCTGTGACAACTTTTTGGAAGGAAAATATGGCATTTTTAAAACTCTGCAAATAAACTGAGAGAAAGGAAGGAAAATAACTGATGATAAGCATGTTACATAATTTATAAGCACCACAGAAAAATCAGATATTGACTTCTGCCAAGATATTACGATTTTAAAAACTACTTTAGAAGGTAAAGACACCAATGTGGCAATGGTTGTAAAATATAATTTTTTTTCCAACTTTACAGGCATAAATATTTAACTCCTTTATTTTCTGCAACTTTCCTTGCAACATTTAAACCCTATAAATATGGGAAAATTTTGCTTGCAAAAAGAACTTTAAGTCTTACTTAAAACTCATTTTTTACTATGGAAAGACAGCAATGCAACATTCCACTTCTGAATAAAATAGACCATTTCAAATATACTATCTTTGTTTCCTGGAAATTTTTTAAAATTCTGCTTTTAAAATCAAGTGAGGAAGCATAACATTTCTGCAAGCCTGGCATAAATGTTAGTGTTAAGATTTTACTACACCACATCCTTATTTGGTAGGCATCCATGAGGAAGCAGGTCCAGGTGCTGTTACTGATAAAACAGATTAACACTCAGGGATACAGATGAAACACAAAGCAGTTACCCAAGAGGAATGCTCCTTCATCTGGTGCTGGTTGCTGTGAGGCCCACTGGCATGGCCACGCCAAAAGCAATTCTGGCAGAGCTGATAATTGTGGCACTGCTGGCACCGGTACCGAAAACCCATCATACTCTCACACCGGCAGTAGGAGCACTCCACGGGATGGAAGACTTGTGGACGGGAGAGAAAAGGGGAGAGAAAAAGGGCAGGAGAGAAGGGATGGAATAAAAGAAGAAAGAATAAATTTTCATTTGGAGAATACAGTCAATACAGGGGAATACCAAATCTAATATAAAAACAAAGGTGAAAACAAAATTAGAGCCGGGTGAGGTGGCTCACCCCTGTAATCCCAGCACTATGGAAGGCTGAGGCAGGCAGATCACTTGAGGCCAGGAGTTCAAGACCAGCCTAGACAACATGCCAAAACCCTGTCTCTACTAAAATTACAAAAAATAATTAGTTGGGTATGATGGCGCATGCCTATAATCCCAGTTACGCAGGAGGCTGCAGCACAAGAATTGTCTGAACCCAGGAAGCAGAGGTTGCAGCGAGTAGAGATCGTGCCACTGCATTCTAGCCTGGGCGACAGAAAAGACCCTGTCTCAAAAACAAAACAACAACAACAACGATAAAACAAAAGTAGGACTAAAGAATCTAAATTATCTGCTAGCCTAACCAGCCATTTACTAAAAAAAAAAAAAAAAAAGACTCAATACATCGGAAAAAAAATTCAACATAGACTAATGAGACTAATCTAATCATTCCAATTTACTATCAAGGGCAATACACAACTGTATATTATAGATCACTATTTATATTTTTAAATGTTGGTAGCATAATTTTTTCCTCTGACAATTCAACTCCGAACACAAGAAAAGAAAGTTAACAGAAAAGAGGGATAGGCCGGGTGTGGTGGCTCACACCTGTAATCCCAGCAGTTTGGGTGGCCGAGCCGGGTAGTTCACCTGAGGTCAGGAGTTTGAGACCAGCCTGACCAACATGGAAAAACCCTGTCTCTACTAAAAATACAAAATTAGCTGGGCATGGTGATGCATGCCTGTAATCCCAGATATTCAGGAGGCTGAGTCAGGAAAATCGCTTGAACCCAGGAGGCAGAGGTTTCCATGAGCCAAGATCACAACATTGCACTCCAGCCTGGGCAACAGCAAAACTCTGCCTCAAAAAAGAAAAGAGGGATAGAGTATTCAAATCTTCATTGAGCAACTCTTTCTAGCATTATATACATAAGACCAAAATCGTATTTCAATTATAGGGACTTTTAGACTTGCTTCCAAAAATATATATTAACTAATGAATCAAGACTCAAAAAAAATTGATTATGAGGTGAAAAAAATACAAGATTATATAACATGACCACTAGGGACTAAAAGAAAACTAAAATTAGCAATAAAAAATCCAAAGGATATTATTTCTAAGAAATTAAGTTTTTTTGCCATCAAGATATTCCTAAGGAATGCTGTAAATACTAATTAAGAGTGTACGCTCCAAATTAACTATACAACCTAGTATAGTTCCTCCAGAGAACAAACTCCATCAATGTCAGCTAACGTCAATGAGGTCAACATCTGTGTAGCCAATATTTATAATTCTAAGTAATTTAGGTTAATAAAAGATATAATAAATAAAAGTATTAAATTATCAAATATATGCTGATAATTTTAGTTGAACATATATATCTATGTGATTTTCCTGTGTTCTCTTCCAAACCAATCAAGTCAATCCTTAGTCAGTGGAATGGGTGACAGGTATAAAAACAGAGAACTAGAATGATGAAAAAATTAACAAGTGTGTTAGGTCAGTTATAAATAAGAAAGAGAAGGACTGTTCAGGTTCTGGTAAAAGTATTATTTTGGTAAAGTGCATCACTTAGTAGTAGTTAAGTAACTACTACCTTAGTAGTTACCTTCTTATCTTACTTGGATTAGTAAATCAATTTAAAAAGTACAACTTTTGCTTAGGTGAATAAACATTACTCCTTATGCATAGTAACATCGATCTAATTCATGATGAACTTCATAGGGCCCAAACCAAAAAAAACCAGAAATACCATTATAATTTCTCACCATTAAAATTAAGACATATAGAAAAATATTAGTGTAACAGTAACATTTTATTTCTAGATATTTTAATTATTTTATAACATTTCTGTCTGATAAAAATACTACAAACCACACACATTAAGAATGTAATCAGTAAATTATACTTTATAAAAGTCACAATAAAATGTTCATATGGATAATAATACATCTTGACAAATGGCAAATACAAAATTATTTCATGAAAATCAACTGGACATAAAACTACTAAAACATTTAAAGCTATAAAGGCATTGCTCTCAAAAATTTAAATCTATCCAAGAATCCTGTTCTTAAAATTCTGCTGGTTTAGTCTAGAGAGATTCTGGTCCTTTAAGAAACGACTCCTGAATCTGAGATACTTGTGAACTAAAGCCATAGTTGGGTAAAAGGCTGAGAAAAATTTATTTTAAAGTATAGATAGGAGAGCGATAAAATAAAAACAGTATGGACGTTGATTTCATTCTTCCAGAAGGGATAAAAACGGACTCTTTTTAGTGGCTTCTTGGCTCTTCCTCATTCTCTTTTGAGGAATGAAGAAAGGCAAGAGCCTTGAGTCCAGGAATGTTGCTAGAAAAACAATGGCCTTCCCTTTAACAAACACCAACAAGCTACAGGAGGAGATAAACTGATGGCAAGAACACAAAAAAATTAAGAAGTTACTAAGAGATAAGTATCATTTTAACTCAAAGCAAAACAAAAATTTATGTCAAATTCCTGGGAGGGATACCAAAAACAGACTCAAGGCAAAAATGGTAAAGGAAAAAAATGGAAAAAAAAAAAAAAAAAAAAGGAACCTGAACAGGCACAGTGCCTCACATCTGTAATCCCAACACTTTGGGAGGCCGAAGCAGGTGGATCATCTGAGGTCTGGAGCCAAAGACCAGCCTGGCCAACATGGTGAAACTCCATCTCTACTAAAAACACAAAAATTAGCCAGGCGTAGTGGCAGGTGCCTGTAATCCCAGCCACTCGGGAGGCTGAGGCAGGAGAATTGCTGGAACCTGTGAGGCAGAGGTTGCAGTGAGCTGAGATCACACCATTGCACTCCAGCCCAAGTGACAACAGAAAGATTACGTCTCAAAAAAAAAAAAAAAAAAAAAAAGGAAACCCACTGTTAAATTATATCTTCACTATTTTTCTTTAAATTATTCCAAAATAATTATACTTTTCGTAGTTGATATTGCATACATACAGTTTTTTAGAACTATGAGTTTGATAAAGATGAAACAGGAAGTCATGGCTAAAAATCAGGTGGGCTCAAACAGAGAACAATCATCTGGAATCTCAGGGAGGAAAAGCATATAGTTAAAATTGTATGATCTGATATGACCACGTCTTGGTATCCTTTCCTTTTTTTTTTTTTTTTTTGAGACAGAGTTTCACTCTGTCACCAAGGCTGGAGTGCACTGGCACGATCCTGACTCATTGCAGCCTCCACCTTCCAGGTTCAAGTGGTTCTCCTGCCTCAGCCTACCGAGTAGCTGGGAAAACAGGTGCCCAAAACCACGCCTGGCTAATTTTTATATTTTTAATAGAGATGGAGTTTTGCCATGTTGGCCAGGCTGGTCTAGAACTCCTGACCTCAAGTGATCCACCCACCTCAGCCTCCCAAAGTGCTGGGATTATAGGTGTGAGCCATCAAGCCCAGCCTACTTCTTGGTTTCCTTTCTAAAGTAGTAAGTCTCTTTGAGACCAGCCTGGCCAGCATGGCTAAACCTTGTCTCTACTAAAAAGATAAAAATTAGCCAGGCATGGTGGCTGGTGCCTGTAATCCCAGCTACTCCGGAGGCTGAGGCAGGAGAATTGCTTGAACCTGGGGGGCGGAGGTTGCACTGAGCCAGGATTGCACCACTGCACCCCAGTCTGGGCAACAGAGTGAGACTGTCCTGGACAAAAAAAAAAAAAGAAGAAATAATAAGTGTCCTTCCTTTTTGAAAAGAAATATTCTTCTGAAAGCCGAAACAGCAAAATCAAATGACAGTGATAGCAAATGTCAAGTATAATTTTCAAAGATATTAGTAGCTAAGGACATTGCAAATAATCAGTTCCTATACTTTCTATAGCCTGAAGAATTAAACAATAAAAGTTCTGCTTACCATTCTCAACATGGGCAAGCCTGTGCATGAGAGGTAGCCAGACAAGGCACTGGGGAGGAGGGTCAGCCATCATTGTGTCTAAAAACATATTTAGCATTATCTTTCTCTGTGAAGAGAAGAAAAACAAATATACTTTATTTTATTTTATTTTATTTATTTATTTTTTGAGACGGAGTTTTGCCCTTGTTGCCCAGGCTGGAATGCAATGGCATGATCTTGGCTCACCGCAACCTCTGCCTCCCAGGTTCAAGCAATTCTCCTGACTCAGCCTCCCAAGTAGCTAGGATTACAGGCATGCGCCACCATGCCCAGCTAATTCTGTATTTTTGGCAGAGATGGGGTTTCTCTATGTTGGTCAGGCTGGTCTCAAACTCCCGAACCTCAGGTGACCAGCCCACCTTAGCCTCTCAAAGTGCTAGGATTACAGGCATGAGCACCACGCCTAGCCATATTTTTTAAGAATCTCTGAACTCCAAGATTAAGTTAACTTAAGATTTTCCCATCCAAGCTTTAGTGAATTACATACTAAATTTCATGGCAAAATAAAAGATTTTACATTACTACAGACACTACTAGATGCTGTACTTTATACTACTATTAGCATATTCTAATGTATTCCCACATACATTATTTTATTTTAGTCAAATGTGTAAGATAACCTAGGTTATATATTACTATCATCACTTTACAGATGAGAAAATGAAGCATTTAAAGGTTTTTTGGTAGCCTGGCCCAAATCAGACACAAAGCCAAGACTGTCCTTCAAGTTACTATTTCTGCTATCCAGTGGGGAAGAGAGGACACCCCACACCTGAGTATAAAGCAACATCAATAACAGCAGGGACTGTGGCTGCTTGTCTACCACATTTGCTTGTCTACCAGCTTTCCTAACAGTGCCTGGCACACAAGAAACACTTGATAAGTCACTACTGGAAAAAAATAAATCGAAGGGCAAACACCTAGACATCATTCAGCAGCTTTCTCACTTATAGAAAACAGAAGCTTAAAGTAGTTCAAATAGTTTGACAAAATCACAGAGATAGTTACAGTAAGGATGAGACTGAAACCTACATATCCAAATGCCCATCACAACGCTCCTGTTACACCAGCTCGCTGGCTAGACTGCATTTTTCTGTTCTATCTTTATTTCTCTTTTTAACAAATATATGGTAAGCCTCCACTGTATATAAAATATTGAAATAACATATCTCACGTAGACACCAAATTAGAAAACAGTTTAGAAAGATATGATAAGAGTTATATGATACAGGGAAAACAAAAATAATATTTCAAATTAATGAATTTTCTTTTTATTTTCTCTAGCCCACATGACACCTTTCCAGCTCCGAAGGGAAAGGAAAAAGAGGCTAAAAGTCCAGGGTCACACAACCCAACAAAAGAGCTCCGTGATTATAACCTGGACACGAAGACCTCACTTCAAATTGTTCCAAAAGAAGAGCCGAGACAACAGGGCACACACTCAGCAGGTGCGTGGCCATCGCTGCCTCCTCCAAGTCCTGGTCCCACCACTCAGAGGCAGGTCGGGGGCTGGGGCGAAGCCAAAAGCACATCCAGAATTTCACCTTGCTCTCTCCCAAGTAACTGTGTTCCCAGCCCCACCTTTTAATGTGAAGAACAGGATATAAAAAATATGGGTATTTCCCCATAAAACATTTAAATCATTTATTTCAGGGGGGGAAAGGTAGAAAAGATAAAATTGGTTAGAGATGATCTAAAGACATTGGCAGCTGATTACAATCAATAACTCCAATTTTTACCACTAAAAATATATATTTAACACAAACTGGAAGCGAGGAGTGAAGACACTGGGGTGCTTGGCCTGAAGGGCAGAGGCCCCCAAGGCTGCCATGGGACCCATCACGGGACCCTCCCAACGAGAGCTCCTATCTCGCAAGGCTTGAGACCAGACAGACTTGTTCCTCTGCATCTTTCTAGCGACTGAGAGAATCCTGATTCTAGTATATGTAAATTGGAGGTCATTCTTATTAAGAATAATCTTTAAAATAAAAAACTGGTAAATGGGGAATAGAAAAGGGAGGTAGAGTAGAAGGCAGAGCAGGAAAGAAGCTGTGCAATACATATCTGGAAAAGATGAAGAAAGCCAAGGGACAGTCTCATCTCCAGAGAGCCTGCAGGCCAGCATGAAGTAGTTAAGTAATTTGACAGTTTCTCAATTTAACTTCTAATATGGAACTTCTGGCTGGGGCAGGAGGAGTTGAGAGCTACGCAAGAGGGCTGACAGAATGACTGGTGGTATGCAGCTGTCATTCAAAGGGTCTCTACACATCACTGAGCACTGATGGTGAAGCATCAGAAGTACCTACTCAAATAGGCTAAAGAAAGGTTATCCTAAGTGTTTTCCATCTCAGGATCCAAGAATACTATTGTTTGAGATCTGGATGGAATCTGGGAGGAATCAGTGAATAACGTTAAAAACCATAAAGCCACCTAACATTTGAACGGAGGAACAGACATGGAAAATGCCTCTATGAACATGCAGATAACCAAGAAACCAAGATAAAGTCAAAAGTGTCTATTTAAAATTGTTGAGATTGGCCGGGCATGGTGGCTCATACCTGTAATCCCAGTACTTTGGGAGGCCGAGGCAGGTGGTTCACCTGAGAACAGGAGTTCAAGACCAGCCTGGGCAACATAGTGAAACTCCATCTCTGCTAAAAATACAAAAATTAGCTGGGCATGGTGGCGGGTGCCTGTAATCCTAGCTACTTGGGAGGCTGAGACAGGAAAATCTATTGAACCCGGGAGGCAGATGCTGCAGTGAGCCAAGATCTCATCATGGCACTCTAGCCTGGGTGACACAGTCAGACTCCATCTCAAAAAAAAAAAAAAAAAAATCCCAGCACTATGGGAGGCCAAGGCGGGCAGATCACCTGAGGTCAGGAGTTAGAGACCACCCTGGCCAACGTGGTGAAACCCCGCCTAAAAATAAATAAATAAATAAACAATTATATATAAATTGAGATAGAAAATGCTACAAATTTTTTAGCTAGTAAAAAGTGGCAAACAAAATTAAATGTATCATATCCTTTGTCATAAAGTTCAAATTAATATTTCTATATCTTAAGTATGTTAAAAATTACATTTTTTTAATCCCCTTATAATTCTAATACTACTTTCTGTTTTTTTGTTTTGTTTTGTTTTTTTCTGAGACGGAGTTTCACTTTTGTTACCCAGGCTAGAGTGCAATGGCGCTATCTCGGCTCATGGCAACCTCCGCCTCCTGGGTTCAAGCAATTCTCCTGCCTCAGCCTCCCAGGCAGCTGGGACTACAGGCGTGCGCCACCATGCCCAGCTAATTTTTTTGTATTTTTAGTACAGACAGGGTTTCACCATGTTGACCAGGATGGTCTCGATCTCTTGACCTCATGATCCACCAGCCTTGGCCTCCCAAAGTGCTGAGATTATAGGTGTAAGCCACCATGCCCAGCCCTAATACTACTTTCTCTTAAAAGTTTTGATTTGTTTACCATGAACAGTTTTTTTAATCTTCAAGATGAAAAGGTAGAATTAGATTTTGATATCTCAGAAGACCCTCATAAATAAACTCAGGATCAATCTCTAAAAGTTGTTCAAAAGTAAAATGCATGAGCTCTGAATGAAGAGACCTCCCCCCATCAAAAACAGGCTTTGTGTGAACAACATGGCTGTTTATTCACCGGGGTGTGGGCAGGCTGAGTCTGAAAAGGGAGTCAGCGAAGGGTGGTGGGATAGGAGTTTGTTTTCTAGGTTTGGGGTAGGCAGTGGAGAGTTATAGAAGTTACAGTTTAGGGAGGTTTTTTGCAAGCTGGGAGGGAGTCCTAGGGTGTGGAGTGTTGACCAAGGTCAGTTACAAAGTCCAATGGCCTTGTCGATTGGGGTGGGAATAAGGAACAATAGAGAATGTCTCAAAGTTAAGTAGGCGCCACAGGGGTTGATCATTTCTTCCTCTTCTCATGGTCTTCCAGTTACTCAGAACTCAACTGGAGTGTCCATGCAGGTCACAAGTTAACATGACCTCCATGGGTCTGTCAGCCTAAAAGACCTTACACTGACATTTTCCAAAAATATGAGGAATGAAACTAGCAGAGCCATGTCCAAGGGCTCTGTCTTCCACCAACTATATGATTTGGAGAAAATCACTGCACATCTCTGAGTTTCAGTTTTCTCATTTTTCAAGGGCTAGAATAGCGGTTCTCAGTGTGATCAGGGAACCCCTGGGAGGTACTTAAACATTTTCATGGAGTTTCATGGAGTTCTGCAGTATTTCATAATACTACTAAGACACTGTTTATCTTTTTCAAACTTACTCTCTCAAGTGTGTACAGTGGGGTTTTCCAGAGACAATGTGACAAAACCAGTTATCTGAAAAGGCGATTAAAAAAGACTTCTCCCTTTCCCAACTATGTAGCTGTTTGAGGCCAAATTTTCTTCCAAATTTTAACCAAAACAGCATACCACAACAGATTGAATGGATAAGCAAATACGGGAATCCACGTGTCTTCTATTGAGGCAAATATTAAAAATATGCAAAAATACAAAACCAAGGCACTCTTTTCACTAAATTTTTGTTTGAAATACTTATTTTTCATAAAAATGTTATTTATGTTAACGTATAATATGTTCATCATTGTTATTTTTAAGTGACTTTTTTTCCCTCAACTTTTTTTTTTTTTTTTTTTAGACAGAGTCTCGCTCTGTTGCCCAGGCTGGAATGCAGTGGCTCGATCTTGGCTCACTGCAACCTCCACCTCCCAGGTTCAAGCAATTCTCCTGCCTCAGCCTTCTGAGTAGCTGGGACTTCAGGCATGCACCACCACGCATGGCTAATTTTTGTACTTTTAGTAGAGACGGGATGTTTCACCATGTTGGCCAGGCTGGTCTTGAACTCCTAACCTCAAGTGATCCACCCACCACAGCTTCCCAAAGTGCTGGGATTACAAGCATGAGCCACCATGCCCAGCCTCCATTTTAACTTCCAATATGGAAATGTTGACAGATTTAACCCATATAAGTAAAAGCTCTTTGAGATCCTCAATAATTTTTACAGTGTAAAGAGGTTTTTACAAAAATTTTGAGAGGCTTCCC